GGTGTCCTTTCAATGCAGCTGAAGCCACGTCGGCAGCTGGCCCGGGTCATGATGATCTGAGAGCCAAAAAGGAAAAGGGGACTATGAGACGGCAGAGCTCTATGGCAAGATCGCTGGAGAAGAAGGGGAGCTGCGAGAGCTCTAGTTCACTGAGCGCTTCAAGTGAACGAGCTCTTCAAGCAGCTTATGCAGCGGCCGAAGGAGCTGAGAAAGCGGCCGAAAATGCAGAGCTGGCAGCCCAAGCCGCAGAGCAAGCTGCGGAACAAGCCATGATGGCTGGGCAGGTGGCTGAACAAGCAATGGCAGCTTCTGCAAGGCTGCACAAAGCGGTGGCGCAGTCAAGCCATCCGATGAGCCTGGTGGTGAACGCACCCGCGCCAGAGGAGTGAGCCGGTTCCTACGAACCCATGGAACCGCTTCCAGCGTGACAATGCTGGCAAAGGGTGGTCGGCCGACAAAATGCGAGCCGAGTCTACAAAGCCAAAGGCTTGAAGAGAACGTGAATGCCTTGAGCCCCGTGTTTTTGGATTTTCATGTCCAGCACGCTCCGTCAAAAGGACGGAGGGGGGAGTCTGTGAAGAGTGGTGTGATCACCATGTCTAGCCTAAACCTACAGGCATTGTGCCTTTCGAGACTGTAATTACAGTAGTCTTCCTTTGGAGTCATTACAGTAACTACCTAAGGATTGGGGTACCCCCTTACTACCATGCCACGGGGCACCCATGAAAAAAACCATGCTACTTGGTGCCTTGGACCTGTTGAAACCAACGGACCCGAGCAACTTCCGCAGTTTGGACCCGGAGGACTCGGAGCCTTTCAGCAGCTCTCCTGGGATGTCTCTGGCAGTGGTTCCAGGCTGGAGATTTGAAGGAAAGAGATGATCGGAAAGAGAAAACTGAGAGATGTTTTCCTGAAAGATGAAACAATCAGCATGATCATGAACAGATAGATGACAATGGCCTCTTTAAAGGTGATAATATGGTCCTGTGGGATCTACCCAGGTTTTCGATCGGTGTTGCGACATCGTCGAAGTCACCCGCATCATCCCGCATCTATGCTGGTCTAAATTCATTAGAGATTCTTCGTCTTTGCCTAAAAGCCCGCATGCTCTCCTCCGCAAAAAGTAAGCATCATGTCATGTCCCGTCATGGACGAACTGCTAGCGGACGAACGTGTCAGCTGCGCTCTTGTTGGTCACCCTCCTCTACCGCCTGGCTGCCTTCACCCGGAAGAAGATCAGCGAGATGGATGACGGCGTCGTCAGTCGGGGCGAAGCCTTGTGGGACGAGATCTCGGAAGAGGCGGTCCGTGGGACCCGGCTTGAACGCCGAAACAAGCTGAATTAACTCAACTGTTCGGGTTGCATCAATGTGCTCTTATGATTGGACCAGACTTCAAGTTGGAATGATTTCAACTATTTCTCCTGGTATCAATCCTTTCTTGCGACCCGTGGAAAGCCTGTAAGGATGAACCCTGAAGTTAAGACTCGCACTTGCAAGGCCCTTGATCACTTAGGCCTCACTCATAACCTCCCTGGACCTAACGAATGGTGCAAACACTACAGAGTTGAGGCCTTCTTGGCCTCTCCCGACTTCACAGGCAGAGAACGAGTCCTTGTGCCTGGGACTGTCCTTTGCGGCCATCCGCAGCATCAGCTTCTTTGCCATTGGTGCCATGCCAGACACTCACTTCCACATCTACTCGGACGTGTCCAATGCGAATTGGCATCGTGGATGGATGGTGGCTTGGTGCAGACAGGGATTGATGGGGATTGACAGCTGGGCTGGGGAACCAGTTGCAGGCGAACCAAACAAGTTGCATGATGCCTGATTGAAAGGATGTGCTTTAATCCGACAACCAAGAGGCTTAACTAAAGGTCGACATCATTCTGCCTACGTCAAAACCTACTTGAGCATTGAGGAGCAATGTAATTGAAGAAAGCTCCATTTTTTCAGAGCTCACAAGACTGAGGTGCTGGCCGGAGTCTCCGTGGGCTGCATGGTGATGGGAATTATCACCTTGAAGATCAAGGAGAGGGGATCCAGACGTTTGGTGATGGGAATTCAATGGAACGAAGCACACGTTTGGTGAAGGGATTTTTAGATTCTAAAGGCCACTGATTGACAAACCCATGATCCATCGCATTTGTCACACCCCGTCCACTGGTTTGTCCCTTGGAACATCTTGCAGCCTTGTGAACATCTTGCAGCCTTGGACCCCTCACATCGACGTGTTTTTTGTTTGGAAACCAAAAAAGCATCTCTCCAATCTGCCAAGAGTCCATCAGGACACACGGGAGCTTTTCAAGGGCCACGGCCACTGTTTTCGGCAGCTTTTTCCGGGCGGTTTTCCCTCCGTTGGCATTCCTTTTGACCTGACGACGACTGGACGAAGTCCGGGCCAGGGACCCGTTCGTTGGCTCGTCGAAGACACGAGCCGTTCGTTGGCGGCTCGTAGGAGTCTGCGTTTGGTGGACACGGGCATGGAGCACACCAGTCCGATGAGCATGGCGGACACGAGGTGGTGGAACACGATGACGCCTGACGAGCAATAGCCTGGCAAGTGGGGGGGGCTTTGTGGCAGGGGGTTTCTGCTGTTGGGGCTCTGCACTTTGAGGACTTCAGGTTGAAAAAAGATCGTCACGTTTTGTTGGTAGATGTTGATCGAATGGGTTTTGCCCGCGATGCAGACATTTGGGTGTGAACCTCCAAAAACGGAGCACGCTCTGGAAGGTTGACAGGTACAGGCTTTCATTGTTCAAACGGGTGTCGCCTTTTGGCCTGGCAAGGGAAGCCTTTCATTGTCGCTGGTGCCGTTTTTTGGCCTCCAACCTAAGAGCGATGGCCTCCAACCTAACAGCGATGGCCTCCAACCTAACAGCGA